GGCAGGTCGACCCAAGAAGATCACTCAGAGTGTTTGCAAGTGGTCCTTAACTTATGTTTAAGTCTGTATGATGTCTATCATGCAACAAGTAACTGTAGAGAACTTTTGTTTGAATTGCACCAAAGTTGGGAGAACTAACACACACAATATGTGTGTGTGTGCGAGTGTGTGTGTGTGTGTGTGTGTGTGTGTGTGTGTGTGTGTGTGTGTGTGTGTGTGTGTGTGTGTGTGTGCGTGTGTGTGTGCGTGTGAGTATAATACATAACAACGCCGTCTTCAAACTTTGATCGATACTAATACCATCGCAATATCGGGCACTTTCCTTTGTCAACCCCCCCCCCCAAAGCCCCCATTTATACCGTATACGGAGTTGTTTTATCATTTCATTTCCGTTGGAATGAATCCATATATTTCACACATGAAGTTTAAAAATAAATATCTCATGCGTGAAATATTAGCTGTGTTGGTGCTGTTTAAGTAAATTACTCCACACTCTACAGTTGCCTTACTTTTTTGGTTGTTTTTTTACTGAAAAGTTAAACATCAAAGTTAGATCTATCTCTATTCTATCAAAACCATGGCAAACCTTCAGCCAGGAAGGGGTGTTCAATATCAGAGAGAGAGAGAGAGAGAGAGAGAGAGAGAGAGAGAGAGAGAGAGAGAGAGAATGAGAGAGAGAGGGGGGGGGAGAGTTAGAGAGAGAGAGAAAGAAAGACAGAGAGATAGAGAGACAGACAGGCAGCCAGAGAGAGACAAAGAGAGAGACGGAGAGAAAGGGAGAGAGGGAGGGAAAAAAGGGAGAGAGAGTGCGAGAGGGAAGGAGGCCGAGAGAGAAAGAGGGAGAGACACAGAGAGAGAGAGAGAGAGAGAGAGAGAGAGAGAGAGAGAGAGAGAGAGAGAGAGAGAGAGAGAGAAAATAATAAATATACAAACAAAAAGAAAAACATAAAAGACAAGCACATGTTTCTACGTTTAGTACACCATGGTGTAATTATTAATTCATAGGTGGCCCCAACGATGGTTTTGTGTCTCCCAGAACCGGGAATACCAAGGCAGGGCACAGGGCACATCTCCGCTTCATGCACGCGTTACATGTATTAGTTACGAATCGAAAGCGCATACCGGATGTTTTTGTTTGACTTCGATTTTCTAATGTGAAAATGTAAGCACTCGCTTTGCGCAAATTTTATCCAATTTGTGTAGAGGATTAAATCATGGAAATCAGCGCTTAACGTTAGCTCTGGTTAGTCAAACCAGACAAACAATCACGCCGAAGTTCTAGAAGTAGATTTTGATTTAGGACTGTGTAAGATCGAAGTAAAAGAAAATCTAGATCTTGCTCAGAAACGAAAGAGAAGTCAGTGGTGCTCTGCCATACGTTGTTATTGTAAGATATATTAGCCTGTGTCTATTGTTCTTTCGATTTCCTACAGATGAAGAATAAATCAAGAAATGGCTTATTAACTGTCGTATAGTAGATCTTCTGACAAAGTGGTCTACAGAACTGTTGAAAGGGAATGTACTGCCTTTCACTACTTCCATCTCGAGTTTCCTTCATGCCATGCACACAAGCAAGACCTATGTTTCCCGAAAACTCTGCTACTCAAAGCACAGCACCGCCATCTTGGTCCAATTGCATTGTTCTATATCGTGTCCGCTTGACGTTTCAATTCCTTTGTCCGTTTATTTTCCTCCTTTCTTTGTTTTTTAGCAGTTTTTTAAAATCCATTACCGGCTCGTCAGGCCCGTAGTAACTTCACTAGAGCCCCGTTGGCCAGCGACGTTTCAGGGTGACCCGGGTTGGCCTTCACGGCTAGCGTAGCGCCTCCGTGGTATAAAGCCACACTGTATTTCACCTAAACCCAGCAATCTCCTACTTTGTCCAGTTTCCATCTCCATCGGCTTGGAACCCTTGGTCAACTTAGGCCATTCCCAAAGGGGGGATATTAATATGTTCGTATGCACAGTGGCACCTCTAAAGTCTGCGACAGGTAATCAGCTGACAGACAAGAAGAAACAAGTGGAAAGATGGGAGAAACATTATTCAGACTTATACTCAGAGGAGCGACATGTTGATAGACAGCAACATGAGGCCATTTCTCAGCTCTCCGAATTGTCAGAACTTGATACAACACCAACAGAAGAAGAACTCTATTCTGCAATCGATGAACTCGCTTGCGGAAAAGCAGCAGGAAATGACAACATACCTGCTGAAGTGCTAAAAGAGAACAAAGAGACTCTCCTCCCATATCTCTACAAGCTACTAGCGACTTGTTGGCTGAAAGCAGAAATTCCACATGACATGAGAGATGGCAAAATCAATACACTTTACAAAAACGAAGGAGACAAAAGAGATTGCAACAACTACAGAGGTATCTCACTGCTAAGCATCACTGGAAAAGCTTTCGCTAGGATCATCCTGAAGCGACTTCAGAAACTAGCAGAAAGAGTCCTACCAGAGAGCCAATGCGGATTCAGATCAAACCGCTCAACAATGGACATGATCTTTTCTATTCGTCAACCACAAGAAAAATGCAGGGAGCAACAACTGCCATTACATACTGCGTTCGTCGGTCTGGCAAAGGCTTTTGATACAGTCAGTAGATCAGGACTGTAAATGGTGCTTAGGAAAATTGGCTGGCCCCAATCTACAGCTCTTCTTCTCATTCCACGAAGATACGAAGGCCACCATTCAACATTAAACAGCTTCAACATCAATAGCGCAGTAAAGCAAGGTTGTGTCTTAGCATCAACCCTTTTTAGCACTTATTTTGCTGTCTTACTGCAACACGCATTCAAAGAGTCACCAGGGGATGTCTTCCTCCACTGGAGAACTGATGGGTCGCTCCCGGTAGGTAAAGTCCACTCTCTAAATAGTATCGTACCACCTTCTTTCTGGTATTCCACACGATCGTTTTACTGTTTTTGTTCTCCGTTCAGTGCATCTTTTTTCCTCATCTGATCTCCTTCATTCTACTTGTGTGAAAAGTTCATTTCCATTTTTTCGTTGGAGCAAAAAATGTTGAAATATCAGCCACTCCTGCTTTTCTCTCCGTTTGTTTTGTTTTGTGTGCCGTATTTGACCTTCTATCCTAATACATGTACGTTACTCACAATCTGCTTTCGACCCACACGCTAGTTGCGACGATTAATTGCCTACAGTCTTGCTGTCATTACATCTAGATAGAATACATCTACTACACAAAGTCTTTGGGAAAATAAAGTCCACTTTATTTATTGGTCTGTCCGGAAAATAATGTTTGCAATGGCGTACAAATAAACACAAATATAAAGGTAAACACAAAATATAAAAATGCATGAATAAATATAGAGAAAATGCACATAGTAGCCTGCGGTTGTGGGCGGTTGTGGGCGGTTGCTCTGGTGTGGTTTGCTCCTTCTTTCCTATCAAACATCATAATGTCACATGAGCGCCAGAGGATTAGAGGTGTTGCAAGAGAGTAACAAACATAAAAAAGAAGAAGGGGAGATAATGACGATAGATATTCGATAGATAGGAAAGAAGAAGAAAACCACACCAGAGCACCCGCCAACCAGCCACTATCGTCCTTATCTCCCCCTTCTTCTTTTTTATGTTTGTTACTCTCTTGTGACACCTCTAATCTTCTGGCGCTCAGATGACCTTAGTTGCGAGCACCGTAAAACATCTACTCAAACTTTAAAAAAGCCTACGGCTTGACCCTTGATACTGTGCAGCGCCCCCTTTTTGAGCAAGAGGGTTATCGTGTGCAGCTCAGGGATACACCCTCAGTGATGACCAAACTGAATGCTGTGTCAAGGAACTTGCTTGACATTCTTCGTGAGCTCCGACCAAACCGGCTTAAAATCACTGTATTGCATGTACTCATATTATAGCCACTGGAGCCCCCTACTTGAGGATTCCCGAGGGGTTTTGTGCGTTTTGTTTTGTTTTGTAGGGTGGGTGTGTTTTGGGGTTGTTGTTTTTTT